GGGAACACTTTTTGGTCCAACTTTCTCCGAATTGAAATCCGATTGCACCGTTGCGATCAGACAGTTAAACTCTATCTAACGATATAATTTTTATATTTATTCGTTATACTTTTTTTCGACGTCATATTTTTGGGTGGTTGACTTTGACAGAGTCAAAATTGGTTTAATTGACCTTTATTCAAAAAGGTTCTCACATTTAATTCATATTATTTATTTCCATGATTTATTTCAATAAATCATTTCAAAGTTCACATTATAAACAATTTCTTCATTTATTCTTAATTTGGGTCTGTACTCAGGTTCCCAATCAAGATCACACAATAAATCAACATGTTGGATTTATCTCTATGAGATTTATCCCAATTATGTTTATTGGATATCAATATATATTTTATTTCAGCCCAAAGCCCAACAACAATTTATTTTAATCAAAACAAATTTTGTTTAATTGAATATTTAATTCAATAAATTTTAGGGTATATTTTGGGGCGTTACAAAACCGCGAGAGAACCCAGCCCATCCTTCCTTGAAAGCGGGATAAGTTTGCGGTGTGAACTTACGCTGGATGGGGACATTGAAGGCTGGAGGTGTGGCAGTAGAACACTGTCCTTCCGGCTCTGATTGTTTCTCGGGCTCTCTTTTCATTTCTGGGGGAGCTCCCGTAGCCCTCTGCTCTTCGACCTCATTCTCCTTCAAGGGGGGAGTTTCCAGTTCTGTCTGCGCGTCAACCTCCTTCTCTATCGTAGAAGAAATCTCTGGTTCTTTCTGCCCCTCAACTTCTTTCTCCACTTCTGGGGGAGCAGTTGCAGTTTGTGGGGAGGTATTGCTTGCCTCAGGCTGAGACTGCGCCGCTGGCTTTTTGAGTGGTGCTTGGTCTGAGAGTTTATCTGCCTGATGGTCCAAGCTATCCGGGTTGGGTAGCTCAAAACCTCCGGGTGCAGCAACGGGGGTGGTATTCTGAGTACCTAAAGAAGTAGACAGGGGGCTGGGCGAAGCAGGAGTACCACCACCCTTACTCTTCTTGGGAAGGAAGTCATCATCTGTGACCCCTTCTCGTGGCCGTTTCTAAGACGGAATGGGCCTCCTCAGCCCAGGGATAGCAGAGATGGGGACAGCCTCCAGAGCAACAGTCGGCTTGCGGATGGCCAAGGCAGTGAAGTCACCCAGGGTTTGAACCCCGGAGGAGCTCCCGGCTGGACCGGATTCTATAGCAGGAGAAGCCTTTGACCTTTCAGGAGAAGGTTCCCCTTCAAACAGAACGGGGTCAGGACCCAGGGGATAGTAAAAATCCGCCTTTTGGTATAACCTAGCGTTCTGAAGGGAGTGATGTGGAATTAAACCCCCTTTGTCTCTCAGGACATTGTACACTCCCTCCGCCAAGTGTGCCGTAGCGAACTTCGTCCGGGAGATAGAACTGCGAAGAACGACACCCGGCAGATCTAAGGGACTGTGAGCCGGGAACTCAATGACGAAGTATCACTTGGACCATTTGTCATTCTTAAACTCAACCCTCTCAAAAATGGGGGCATGAGAATGGGGATACAGGCTGTAAAAAGGAAAAGACCCACCAACGCTGAAGAGGATGAGGAATTCGTCCAATGTTGGGGTTCTATCCAGAGCACAGCACCGCAAGATGTAGGAGGCGACATACTTGTGCGCATTGGCAGTCAATTGACCAGAGCGAATCCGAAGTGACGGTAGAGGTCGCGGAGCAGACCATGGAGGGGTAATCTGAACCCGTTCTCCACAGAGTGATATTGCATGACCATATACTTCTGGGGGTTTGGATTGTAGGATAAACTAATCCCCCCGACGGCATCGGGATGGTGGACCTGGAAGGCCTTGCCCAGAAGCACGACCATTTCTCGAAGTTCATCCTCCTTAATGATAGAGGGTTCGTGAGTCCAGGTTTCGGGATTTGCAGGAGCCATCTCGGAGAAGGGAGTGAGAATTTGGGGGAAAACTGCAGTTGGAATTCGGGTCGGGTTAAGATTCGGTAGCGAAGGAGGAGGAGGACGAGTCCAGAAGGGGTTATATCCGTTGAAAGGGTGGACCCAAGGCACTCGAGTGTGACGTTTCTAATCCGACACGAAAACCCAAGGCGGCTCATCATTAGTTTTCTAGCGACACGTCGCCAGAAAACTAGGGGGCTTGTGATGGATATTGGGTCTGATGGACCCGACTCCAGGCCCAATAAAGGCCCATAATAGCGCAAGATGGATAAGGCCAGGTGAGGGCAACAGGCCGAGCCGCTACTACACGCTTATCAAATGGGAAAAGGACGGCCCAACCATGGACTAAATCAAGGTGACCCGGTCCAAGAAAGGAATGAGATACGTGGTCCGCATCATTAAGTTGTGGACAAGATGGGAAGATAATGAGACCGGAAAAGAGGGGATCACAACCCCATGATCTCCATAATTCCTCCCATTATGTATAATTTTAATTACAATATTAGAAATACTATAGAAGTGGGGAGAACCCGCCATTGTAAAGGAGAGAGGTAATTGAATACTCAACTAAAGAATATTATTGTGAGATTATATCTTTCTGATCCATATTACGTTCTTGGTCCGTCATCTGATCGGGTTAATCCCATCAGATACCCTTCGACGAATTGTTATTTTTTACTTTCTATCACGTCAGTGTTAAATTGAGAGCTAAAAGTGTAATTTTAGACTAGCTCTGATATTTACAATCCTCTTTCCATAACCATTGCCAGAAGTCATTGCAGAAATGTCGTTTGTCCACTGGAGTTGCCTCCCACCGCAACCATAGTCCACAGCTATCGTCGCTAGTCAAAATTCATGTCTGCATCCATATTCATTGTTGTTGCGTTGTCCGTCAAGCCCATACGAGAGTACATGGTCAAACCTAAGATCGATGTAGAAATTACATTTTTAGCATCAATTTAGCACCAACATGGCAGAATATCAAGTAGAGGATTATCCGTAGAAATGTATACATAAACGAAGGACCACGAACGTAATATTTTGTAGTAGAGGACTAAATATAAAAAATCTTCTGTTTTAAAAAAATCAATTATAGAATTTACTCTAAAATTAACTCTCTCCATCCAAAAAACTTTCTATTTTGATTTTTTTGTCAAACTTTGACACTCTTTGAAAATGAATTAAATACTCCTATAATTTAAATAAATAAAAGTTATAAATTTTGATATATCAAAATTATACCATAAGATTAACCCATTCATATTAAATTTACTTTTTATTTACATTATAATCAAATTTTTCTTTTTCACAAATAATGGTAAAAGACTATCACAGTTTGACACAAAAAGTCAAAGCAAGAAAGTTTTTTTAGGACGGAGGTAGTAAGTATGTTCATTTGAGAACTCCATAATGCTCTTTACATTTACAGAGAATATACATGCACGAGTAATACATTTTTCATTTCAACAAAAATAAAGACGGATATACAACTAAAGTAAAGATATATGCGGAATGAGTATTTTGTTATTCATTGTAGAAATATAAGACAATTGAACTGAATTGGGTTTGATTAAACATAAACATGATACCATCGACTGGTTGCACAGTTAGAAGCACAAAGATGTGGTGACCTTAAGGTCATGGATTCAAACCCCCCACTTGTTGGGAGAGTTTTGGCCTTAATATGCAAACCCAATTAATAAGGATTCATCGGATTTCGCCAAAGATGTGTCTGAAACACCTGTGATCTAGCAAACAATGATATTCATAATAGCAAAAAACAATGGCCTAATAGCAAGCCCATCAAGAGGCCCATTAATACTAAACCTAATTTATTTGCTAACACTCCCATTCAAGCTGATACATGAGGAGCACAAATGAATAACTTGAATAATAAAAAAACCAAGAGAAAAAACCACTCGATAAACAACTTGACAAAAGTTTAATTTGTTCCGATAACAACAAATGAAAGTGTCTTGCTAAGCAAGCGAACGACTAAGAATTGACGATGAATGACTCCCACGTAGTGATATAAGGATGACTAAATGACAATCCAAATCTAAACATATTGTTGCCGGACTAAGGTGTGCGACCTACTCTATAAGTTAAAATGCCAAGCATATGGTTGGTTGCATTTAAACATACCAAATAGTAACAAAAAATAGCATCATGAAAAAACATTATCAAAACTAGCTTTGACTAAAATTGATTCGTGGACCATGAACAAAGCAAAACCAACCAAATACTATGCTTATGATCTTCAACTGGGAAGAGTTGAATTGAAACCAACAAAAATACTATGAGAAACAAAATTATGCAGCATACCATTACTGCAATTAAGTGGGCTTGTTTACCACAATCAATAAAACTGATAAATTGCAGTAGATAGCTCAACGCCAGAAGTGAGACAATAGCCACTGTGGACTTGCAGATCTGGAATAAATAAAATAGATGGTCCTCGACTTTGACAGTGGATAAAGATGATTGACACCTCCACTGTTGTGGCTAGACAAACCACAGACGATAGGGGGACTGAACAACGGGCGACGACGATAACAAAACTAACAAACAGAATGTAGTCGATTAGAACTTCAACATGGGGCTTCTTGATGTGGAAGCGCACTGAACAGAGACAAATATGAGGGGCAAGATAAATTGACGGTGACGCCGTTGTCACAAGACCAACTACCAACGATGATGACGTAGTGGAAGACATTAATAGATCAAATTAGGGCTAGTTCCAATACCATGTAAAAATCTAAGACAATTGAATTAAATTGGGTTTCATTGAACACAAACATGTTATTTATAATAGCTACAAACAATGACCTAATAACAAGCCCAATAATACTAAACCTAATATACTCGGTAACATTCATAAATGGATATTCGCTACGAATGTACAAGAACTACAGTATAAGCAGTTGTACGATATATATTGCTAAAATCGCGGGCCTGGTCGATCTTGAGGTTAGCCTCGACTAGTTTGTCAATCTATTAGGTTGTTTTCACGGGCCAACCCAACGATTCATGTCAGAACTTTTTAGACCTCATGTGCGCGGTCTCCTCTTCGTCAATATATACCTCTCCACAATATATGAGGAGGGGTGCATTTACGCATCTTCTTTCATTTAAATTGAAGCTTTCTCTATTTTATCTGTGATTCCTTAATCCGTCTTTAGTTTTACAATTACTTTAAAAAGATGACATTTCAAAACTATTAGATGAAATTACAAAACTCTTAGGGGAGGAAGTACATGGTCACATACCCACATTGGTAAGGTGAACAACACACTAAGGTGTACAAATGCTTTGTACTTTCACCAATTTTAGTACAAGAAAAAAGAAGTGGCATAAAAAATGGCAATTTAATGAAATCATCATCCGAATGATTTACCATAAATGCTAGTGTACTTATATAATACTTCCTGAGTGGGTATATCAATTGCGGAGTAAATTAAAAAAGTTAGCTCATTTGTGTACGGCACATCAAATTAATCTACAATTTGGTGCTAATTAGACATTTAATCTCCACTATTTGTTCTTGTATCAAGCCACCTCACCCCCCTTCTCTTTCTCCGTATTTGATCAGCTCAGACTTCAAACTCCTCTCTCTCTCCTCAAACTCTGAAAAATAATAAGTGGATCTTGTTCTTCAACTCCTGTTTTCACGCCCACAATAGGGTTTGAGCTTCTTCATGTTCATCTTCTTCTCCTTTTCAATTTGAATTTGTTTTCCTTTTTCTTCTGGAAGCTGAATTTGAGATCTTAAAAAAAATAAAAGATCACATTTCCTCCCCCCTGTGCTGTGTTTTTCAAGGTTCCGAGCTTTTTTGTATCGCGATCTTCATGATTGATGTGGAGTCACTGTGTTATGTATACATATACGAATAATTGTGAACCCAGGTGTTGGAATTTTGGCTTAGAGGGTGCCATTTTCTTCGTCATTTCTGTTTTTGAATCATCGGGGCAGCTTTTCATTTTGCCGGGTATTAGCTTGCTCTCCCAGACTCGTTGGTTTAATTGGACTGGATTTTTGAAGGACTGATCTTAGTGGTTAGTTGGTGTCTTGCTCCAAACGGCTACACCAGCTTTTTTCACGCAGGTAAAAGATTTGTATGAATTTGATCTGTAGTTATTTATCATTCAATATATAAATACTGTTTTGCAAAGGTGAGAATAATGAATATGGAGTTTATTTGTTGAATCTCACTTAATATCTTTGAGATCTACTTGCACCCTTAATTTGAGTAATTAAATTTTGACAAGCTTGTGAGGATTTTGCCTATTTTTTAATTAATATTCTTTATTCTCAGTGTGCACAATAGAGATTGATGCATGGATTTAGAAGTTCAAAAGCTGGTAAGTTTTAGCATCATGGTTGGCATTTTTGTAATTTGTTGTATTGGAAATCAGAAAAGCTTTTTGGTGTTTCATTTCTTTGGTTTGTGATCACGGAACCTTCTTGTTTGCACTCCACACAGTATAATGCCAACCCATAAGGCGCATACTAGGCATGTGTTGTGTATAATTGGTAATTCATGCTCCTTGTATTCTTTCTCCCAATCAAACTGACGTGCTTAGTATTTTGTGGTTTTGTGCTCAATCATGGGCGTACAGCATTGGTGTTATACCTTATCATGTCTCTAGGCACTTAATTAATGCTTTCTAATCTTAATTCATGGAAAATTTTAGTATCCTTTCACTCAAATATGTGCAAAAGTTTGTTCCTTCTTTTGCTTTTCGTTGTTAAGTCAGGTATATTGCATTTCAACATTGGTCGCTAAAATACAATTATTGTTTTGTGATGACGTTTCCAAATTTGTTGTTTTGTACAAATCCATTCAACATACTGTGTGTCACGTGTTGGATGTGTGGGCTGCCACTTTGGATCTCGAAAAGTGTGTTTTCTGTTACTATCATTAACTTTTCTTGTGGATGTATCCCGATGATTCTCCAATATTTGTATGACTGATTTGTTGCTATGTACTGATACAAATTGAACTTGTCATCTTAAATGAGATAAGTACTCTTAGGAAGATGTTGCCACCAACCCACCCACACGGAAGCATATCATTGTTATTTTTCTTTTTTAATGCTCCTTTCCTTTTTGGAATTAATTTCCTTTTGTTGGTCATCATATCAGGATGAGTACCACCTGTGAAAGTGAAGAAATGATTAATTCAAAAGGCAGCGCAGGTTCTGCATCTATTGAAGAAGCATGTGCTAAAGGAGGAAATGTTCAGCTGAAGAAAGGTCCATGGACATCCGCAGAAGATGCAATTTTGGTTGATTACGTAACAAGAAACGGAGAAGGGAATTGGAATGCTGTGCAGAAACATTCAGGACTTGCTCGCTGCGGTAAAAGTTGTCGTTTGCGGTGGGCAAATCATCTGAGGCCAGATCTAAAGAAAGGTTCATTTTCTCCCGAGGAGGAGCACCGTATAATTGAACTGCATGCTAAATTGGGAAACAAATGGGCACGAATGGCTGCTGAGGTATGTATCTACCCTCACACTCAACATCTATTTCCATTTATGCTTATATTTGTCATGAAATCCATGTTAGAAAACTATTTAGAAACTTAACATTCTATTTAGGAACAATGAATGTTGAATATTATTTAGCGATAAGAATCATATTTTATAATGAAAAATGGTTTTCGAATATTATTAAGTGAAAGTAATTATAGCATAATTTCGTATTCCCCTTTTAATTTTGACTGTAGTTGGTGTATCTTTTGTGTTGTTTGTATCCATTTTTTATTCAAGTTTTTAAAATGAAAGCACATAATGGTAGCATGTGACCATCCAATCCACAGCCTATCAATTTGAACTGAATATTTATGTCCTTAAAAAACTATCTTTTTCTAATTCACTAACAAAGCATGTTGCATACACAAGATTGATAGTTATATCTGCACTTGCTTCTACATTAGATGATCAGAAGAATTGGACTGATTGGATTGACCTTTCACCCCTCTTATGAAGCTATGTTATTAAAACTTTTGTTTTCTAAACATAACCATCACGAAAGATATAAAGGCATTTTGATGATAATTAATGTAACATTTAGTCATGGAGGACTGTTGTTTGTTTGTATATGTGTTTTGTTGTGTTTTTGGGAGTTCATTAGTATTTCCTTCAATTAGTATGCTTTGAGAGAAATAAATGGAATGGTGTAGATATGTGTCCCCACCATTTTATTTATTTCCCCCCAAAGCCTTAGGCATGGAAGGAAATGGAGGGAAATATAAAAAGAGGAGCAAAATACAAGTTCATAATATTTTGGATGAAGTGTAGGATGGAATCGAGGATCATATACTGACAATTCATCTATCCCATTTTACACGGTTGTTTTACTCATTTCAAACTAACATTTCTCTCCTTTGTTTTAAAACGTTTGCTTATAATAGTGTTGAATTTAATATTATTATTCACAAAAATTACTCTGGAGTACCTCACGTTTGTTCCTAAAAAATCACAGGTCCCACATTTTCCAAAATATGTACTTTAGGGGCGCTCTAAATTCATGGTAATGTACTCTGAGGGTACATACTGTCCGGTCAGCCGTTAGGAGTTATTAGTCTGTTACTTTGACCACAATCATTGCACCTCCGAAACACCTTGAATGTACTCAATTTTTACATAAAGTTTATAAAGCATATTTAAAATAATAAAATATTTTCCTCATTTTAAAAAGGTAACAATGATGAAAGTAGAATAAAATAACAACCTTTTATTGTAAATTTCGATATTTGTGTTAGAAACCAAAATATTAGCAAGTGAAAGATTTCTAAAAATGTATAAATATAATGAATATTTAAAGTAAAGTTTAACGCACGTGTGTAGCATGACACAGGTCATGTAGGACACGTGTGCCATTTCACTATACTAAAATTCTTATCACTTTATTTTATAATAAAATTAAATAAAATATAAATATATTTAAATTGTTAAAAAATATGTATAATAATTTTAAAATGAAAATTATTAAAAATTTGGAAATAAAATGTGTAGTTTAAATAAAGAAGCACATGCATTGAAAAGTAATAAAATGAAATAAATGATGAATAAATTTAAAACATTTGTATATTATTTTTTTTTATTAAAAATAAAGTTTATAAAACATTTTTAAAATAAAAAAATAATCTTCCATCCTAGAGTATTTGTCCATTTTTTTTATCTGTCAACCAAAATTGACCTTTGACCTATAAATAACTTAAAACTACGTGTTATATTAATTAGATAAAATAATATTTTGAAAATATTTTACAAGATAAGTCTAATAAAATTATTCTTGTATCAATATCCAATATAAATTTCATAAAATTAATAGTCAAAGTTCATCATTTTTTATTGCAAAAAGTTAAAACTCGACAAATACTCTAGGATAGATGTCGTATGTTACAATGATGATAATATAATGAAATTAATGATTTTTAATGTAAAAACGGGCAAAATATAATTTTAGGGTGTTTGATTGGTCAAAGTAATTGAGTGTTAACTCCTAATGGCCAAATGGAACATTACCACGAATTTTAGGCACCACTCGGGTATATTCGGGATAATGTGGGACGTGTGAGTTTTAGCCGAAAACACGAGGTACTCCAAATTGATTTTTTGTACGATTCATGTGTGCATGTGTGTGATGATACAAAGCATATTAGGTAAATCAACAACAATAACCTAATGGGATCCCGCCAAAGTAGGGTGTGAGAAGCGTGTGTGTACTTAAACTTTACACCTATTCGAAAATATAGAAGTTGTTTTCAAGAGACTCCGACTTGAGCTTCACATAGGCACAAAGTATGAACACATAAGCAAAGGGCAAACAAAGCGCAGAGAGCCGAAAAGTACCAAGCAAAGAAGGCACACAACGAAAAGAGAAAAACTATCACCAAGGGCCAACACGACTACCCTAATATAAATCTAGATCTTGAGATGCTCCTATCCTTAATATCATATCTTCGGTAAGGGCCAGAATTCTCAAGTCCTATTTGATCACCTCCTTCCAATTCTTCTTAGGTCTACCCTTACTATAAAAATAAACAAATTTTAAATAAAAACTGGTACGGAAACCTAATAACACCTGAAAGTTTAGAGTTCAAATCTAAATATACTAGAAAATAATATTTTACTAAAAAATAGCAACAGAAACCTCATGACCGGAAATTGGTAATTGAAATTAATTACTAGAGTATAGGATTCTTGATAACTAAGATAAACAATTCAAAAAACATGGCATCATTATTTCATGATATTTCCCATGCATTTGGAAGTACCTATGATGGTGACTTTAGAATTATCATCTCAGTACATTCTTTCATATGAAGGTTAGGGGTTGTGACAGCAAGGGCATCTTGCATACAACCTTGTCAGTATACTTTTTGCAAGATTTTAAAGTGTCAATTATTCTTATACAAATGACTACCTCGTAATAGTAAACAAAAACAACCATAATCACCGCTATCTAGGCATACGACAAACAATAGAATCAAATGACACAATAAATATAATGCCACTTGCCCCCCAAGCACCTTAGGTAAGATGACAAGTAAAATATGTCAACTTTTATTATTTATTTATTTATTTATTTATGAAAATGGTATCATCCACCCTGCTTTTGTGGGATTCTACTTGGTTGTTGTTGTAAATGGTACCATCAATGGAGTGTTACCCTTCATTTAAAATGCACGTCCTCCCATCATTCTATATTAGTTTTTTCTTTTTCATTTGACCCATCGATTTAGAGTAGTGGATTTTGAAATCTTGTATGTGCTCTCTTTATAGAAAGAAGAAAAAAAGAGCAAAAAAGTGAAGATAATATATTGAAAAATCACCAAAATAGTATCACACCATAACTGTTTTCCTCTTTCGGTATAACATGTTTTAAGTTCCACAATTGGTATCTAACTAATTAATGATTAGTGATGTTAATGTGTCAAAATGTCCTTTTGATAATTTTATAGTTTACTCTAATCATAATTCATAGACTTGCCTCCATTAGAGTCCGTCGTTGCCGCCCATCACACCCTGCTACGGCTGCCACCTTGTGCTGCCCATCACACCCTTGCTCTATTGATGTCCATCGTGGGTTCAATGACCATAAAAATTTCAATGTCCAATGTCACCTTTGATAAAGTCCATCATGATGCCTCTGTTAATTTTCATCGGTTCGCAATTTCTAATGTCCATCGACTTATTATGAATATTAGATAATAAGAAATAAATATTATATTTAATTACTTTCCATATTATATTATTTTTCTTGTTACCATAGTTGTTCTCCTACTATGGTTAGATCTCTCTCATGTAATCCCTATAAATAGGGATGTATCCTTCAATATTCAATGAGACCAATTATTCTCAAATTATATCATGGTATCGGAGCTAAGGTTCTTTAAAACCTAGACTAATCTTTAAGAGCAAGCACATTGCCAGTCTCTGTTTACGGCGGTCGATCGCCCGACAACATGGCATCACCGACAAATCTCTGTTTACAGTGGTCAATCGTCCGACAGCATGGCATCACCGACCAATCTCGGCGAGCGTGTCTAACAACCTCCGTCCATTATCCCTCTCTTTCTCTCCAGAAAAAATCATTCTCTCTCTCTCTTCCAAAAAAAATTATGTGCCTGATGGAAGAATGGAAAATTGCATTTGTTTGTGTTTTTCTAGAGATCGAGAGCATGGAAAGTGATAGAGAAGCAGAGAACGGTCCATAAGGAGAAAAAAAGAAACTCCTCGCCCTCGCTCCAATCGTTAACAATCTCATCATTCAGCAAACGTAATTTCAAGCTTGTTCGTCATGCAACGAAGATTGACTCTCTACTTTTAGAGGTTATCCTCACAAAACTACTTCTGCTAGCTCAGTTCTAATACATGTGCTCCAAGTTGCTCCTCGTTATCGATGATCAGCTTGCGGGGGAATATTAGGAATATTAGATAATAGAAAATAAATATTATATTTAATTACTTTCCTTATTATATTATTTTTCCTTGTTACCATAGTTATTCTCCTACTATAATTAGAACTCTCTCATGTAATCCTTATAAATAGGGATGTATCCTTCAATATTCAATGAGACCAATTATTATAAAATTGTATCAGACTTATGCATCAATGCCGGACAATGCCCACAGTTTTCATTGTTCTTGCACCCGTAAAGAAGAAAGAAAAAGAGGCGCTGTGAGGATGGGCGCATCCGTTGAAATCACGACGCTTGGAGGAGTTGGTTGGTTGGGTGTAAGAAAAAGAATGTTGAGAGGTGGATAGAGATGGAGAGAGGCGGTGGCAGTGGCAACTAGAGAGGGTGCAACAGTGTGGCTGCAAACGAGGCGAGATTGTGGCGGCATGAGATGGTCGAAGGACGATGAGGTTGCAAAGAAGAATAGAGAAAAAGAGGATAAAATAAAGTACAAAATTGCTTGGGGCACACCATATTGTACCCTGCTTTGCACACTGCCCATGGATCTACCATTCATTCTTTATTAAATAAATTAAAAATGAAAAGTGGATAAAAAAATATGGTGAATGATGTAGTGGGGTGTAAAATGGGGTACAAAATTGTGTGGGAGTAAGAGAGAGGAAAAACAATTTAGGGTTTTATTAGGATATATATATGGGTATGTTGGTACACATACATTAATAATTTACGTAGTATAACTTATTAAATAAGTAAATCATATTTAGGCAACTAAACACATATTAGATCATACATTGGGAAGAAGCATATGCTTACTATTCCCTCTGTCTTGCTATCTTTGTTCCTTTTCAGATTATGATGTTAGACTAATTTTTTTAATGAAATTTATCTAAATATTGGTGTAGTTTTAAAAAATAAAAATTATTATTCAAAAACTACATAAAAAATTTTACAAAATAAGAGGTGATATGAATATAATTTTTTAAAGAAATGATAGATGAAATTATGTAAAGAAAGTAGATTTAGTTTGACCCTATAAACAATGGAAGGGACAAAATAGTGGAACAGAGGGACTCATCTCTGAAAATTTTACATGATATATTAATAAGTGGACCTTTTCCAAAATTTTAAATATGAACACTAATAAGGAAAAGAATGAGTATGTGTGTGCATTTGCATGTTATATTTTCAGTTAAATGAAAGAATAAAATTTGAAAGCGTGAGTATGCTTCTATGACTTCACATGTTCTCCCTTACAAAAGTTTGAAATCGAGGATGGAGTTGAAATAACTGGATTGGGCCATAAGACCCTTGACTTGAACCACATTAAAAGATTGAATCAAATCGATTACTTGGTTCAACTCAAAAGCTTATATACTAGCACTACAAGTTTTGGCGTGGGATAGAGTCTAACACTCTCGCTCAAGTGGACAACCGGACCATTTTGAATCTAAACGGTTGACCATTTGCAACAGGACTCTCATCCCCTTGATTTTTTTTAGCGCCAACATTTAAAGGACCACAAGCTGGTGGGTATGGACTTCTAGACAAGCAATCATGTTAAACGGGCCACCGGCCGTTGGGTACATACTCCACACAGACAACTGGGCCAAGCACTAACGGGCCGCTAAGAATGAACGTCTAGACGGACACCTTGACAAACAAGGTGGGCGAAAACTTGCTCCGATACCATGATAGAATTTAGGACGGATAAGGGTTACTGGAATAGGCGATAAATAAGCGATAAGACCCTTGAGTTGAACCATATTAAAAGATTGAATCCAGTCAATTACTTAGTTCAACTCAAGAGCTTATATACCGATTTATTTTCACTACAAGTTCCGATGTGGGATAGATTGTAACACAAACCCAGTGTAATTCTAATTCCTTTGTGTGTTAAAGTGTACACACACACCACAATTCGTTTCACACCACTCAAGCGGTGCCATAACATAACACAAGGCCTAGGGGGCTCTGTTGGGCCTGNCCCCCCCCCGGTGAGTTGCAGCCCACCTAACCTAGACCCCTGAACCCATCCTCGGTCCCGTGCCCAATGAAGCGTCGTAGGACCCCAAAGGTTAGGTGTAATAATGACACTAAGGGTTGACTTCACGGAGTCTAAGAAAATTGTTAGAAAGTAAAAAGTGTGGTTGCAATTTGTGTTGAAGAGAGAAACTTTGGGGACATCCCAATAAGGAGAGTATATTCTTTATTTTGGGACAGAGGGCGTATAGTTTTTGTTAAACCAAGAAATAAGTTTTGCAAAAATATAAATATGATAAAACATTGTCTTTTTTCAATGTTTTAGCTTCGAGTATATAATGGACGGAATCAAAATGACACATTAAACTTCTCTCGTTTCTTACTTTCTATGGATATTTTTGGAAGGAAATGCAGTAATGCCTCAAAGATCTAATGGAAATAGTCTCTCCCCTTTTTATAACGATAAGTTAGCATACATCTTGACCCAACAGAGTAGGGATTATAGTGGGGTTTTGTTGTTGTTGCTGTTTAAGTATGATTCTATGACTTTACATGTTCTGTCTTGCCAAAATTTTAAATTTTAAAGTTGTAGATCAAACATGACATTTTTTGGGATGGAGAGTATTTGATTTAAATTTTTGATATATGCACTTACAAACAGACACATAACTATTTTAATATATGCACTCACAAACACAGACACACACCTTATGGTTATACTCGGATAGATCAGCTCAAATGTTTGACTCTGTACTGTCTTGTCACACTATGCCCCAAACCGGTCTTCTTTACCAATCCAGTCACTTGGGCATTGACAATTTGACAGGCGACAAGGCAGATAAGGCAAGGTAGGCGCTCGCCTTTCAAAACTATGGATTCATTGTGTCCTGCCACTGAAATGATGCACACATGACTCATACATTTGTGACCATAGGCCTAAGTGTAGGCATAGGCTAGGAGGCACATGCATGCCGTAGCCTACAAACCACACGCCTGAGATCAGATATTAGCCACATGCATGCATGTAGAGAGTGATGTGTGTCCCGTGATCAGCGCAAGGTCATGCTAGATTTGGACCAAGGTGCTAGGGTGGTGCATTGGAAGCTTTTACATGAGTGCCGTTAGTAATGTGGGAGAGGGGCCATTCTGATAGCTATATACTTTTTTGTCTTTGTTCATTGCATAATCTTTTGATCTTTTCATGTCTTTCTCCATCCAGTTCATCCCTCCCAACTTGGTCTCCCTGACAGCAGTGCTGAACTGCTCTTCTGTTGAACTGGGAAAACACACCCTCACACAGATAGACCCTTTTCCTACTTGTCAAGATGAAAACACAAACAACAATGAAACTTTTAGAGAGGAAATTCCGTTTAGTATAAAATTGAGGGCTAAGTCCCTCTTTTCCAAAAGGCTTAATAGACTACCCAACGACATTATCACAATCTCATCCCTTTTTTGTCATTTCCTTGGTGGTTTGTTCAATGTTTCTTCAATTTTTTGTTTACAAATTTAGAAAGAATGTCAGGGGAAATTGGTGTTTCTTACTCCTTTTTTTTATAGAAGTATTGTTCTTGTCATAATACATTATCATCTAATAAGAACAAAAGATTTTTCTTGAGCAATGCTTTTGCCCGACATACTTGAAGAATTGGAACCTGTATTCTTCTCCTTTAAAATTTCTATTCCTTTCAAAATTACATGCTATCAAATCCCATAGGTTATTATCTAGTAAAATTGCACCCATTTTCTAATTGAAAAAAGGTATGAATAAAAATCAAATTGAGAAAAGTACTCTGAGCATGAATCAATATTTTTTGTTCCAATTCCTTTTATTCAGTGAATGCATATTAGTCATACTGTACGTCTCTTCATATGTCACTATTCTAACCTGTTGTGCTTTCAGAAACAGCCTCTATACTTGTACAAGTAATGTTAAGGTTTGTGTACATCTACCCTCCATAGACTACTTGTGGGACCTTGCTGGGTAGCTGTAGTTGTTTTGTGTATGTAATCCCTCCATCCCAAAACAAAAATGGTCATGGTACAACTTTAAAATTTTGGTAAGGTGCAACAGGTAAAGTCATAGAGTCATACTCATTTCTTTAAAATTTATTTCTTGGTTTCATCCAATTAATCATATTTATGTTTGTTATTTGTCAAATTGCGTGAAAAAGTAGCTTCCTTTGATGAAATATGGCTCTTTTTAGGGCAAAAATATTTTGAAACAAAAAGTGAAATTGAGTGAGTATTTTCTAACGAAATTCTCCCTATGGGATCACTATTACTCACTTTGTTTTGTTGTTTTCCCTTAAGCTCCCTGGTCGTACTGACAATGAGATAAAGAACTATTGGAACACGAGAATCAAGAGAAGACAGCGTGCTGGCCTGCCCATCTACCCTCCAGATCTCTGTATCAGAACCATAAATGCAGGCAAACAAAATGAAGACATGGGCACATTTTCAGGTGGGCAGCATCATGATATATTACAAATGAACAATTTTGACATTCCAGCTGTGGAGTTCAAGAATTTAGGACTAAATCAGTATCAATACACTCCACCTGCAATTATTGATAGCAACCTGCTGGGACAAGGTCTGAAGTCTTCGTCCGATGACAGGTATTTCATCTCCCCTGTGCATCCATCCAAACGTCTCAGAGGAGTAACAGAGACGGCCTCCTTGCTCCCTGGTGCCGGTGATCTACTAGCCTGTGATCCATACCAGAGTTGCACTTCTCCATATTATTTTGATCATCAACAGCCTTTTGGGGTTTCTTCTTCTGATCATCATTCATTGTTCGGTGGTGTTATTAACGGCAGCCATGCCTCTTTAAATGGCAACTCCTGTTCTTCTCCTGAGCCCTCATGGGAGAAGAAGCTGGAGCTCCCTTCACTCCAAAGTCACATGGGTAATTGGTATTCATCACCAGAGTCCATTGTTGACACATTGATTCACTCACCTCCTCCAACCGAAACTAGTCTCTCTCCGCGAAACAGTGGCCTGCTGGATGCTGTGCTTTATGAGTCGCACACAAAGAATAACAATACTGCTTCTGATGCTTCCCCGGGCACCATGCATGAGAACAAATCATTTCAAAATCTTCATGAGACTGCAGAATTGGAAGCATATGGAGATCCAATCTCTCCTTTAGGTCATTCATCTGCTTCGGTGTTCAGTGAATACACCCCTCCTGTCAATGGGGACAAGCCCCACCCTGATGAGACAGTGACAGGTGAGTATCACTGCCATTGAGATGACTTGTTTTCAAAGAATAAGTGCCTTTTAAAGAAAAAGTATTTTTACTTAAAAAAGAAGCATTTGGCAAGGTAATTTTTTTTAAAAAAACTTCTTTTCATATTAAAGGAAGCACCAGATTGGAGCTTGTTGGCAAGTGTTTAGTGCTTAAACGATAAAGCTGTCTTATAAAAGCCTTATAGTATGAGTCATTCCATACGGACTCTATATCTATTCTGTAGTTAAGCTATGAACTTTGCGTCTCATTCCTTTATTCTCTTGTAGATGCAAACTGTAATGATGATCCCATTCCTCTATTGTTTTGAAGGGCACAAAGTTGAGGAGTCCAACAATTCCTATTGTTTTGAAGGATTCAAAGTTAAGGAGGAGGACATGGACTGGTCGTATCCGATTCAGTGTTATGATGGCAGAAATGATGAATCAAACCAGAATATGTTTTCCAGGCCTGACCTCTTTCTTGCTTCAAATGGTTTTTATCATCAGACAAACTACAACAACTACAACAAGAATCATTCCGTGCTGAAAGAAGTATTTGGGGCAGTTCTTTTTGACGATGTTAGCAGGGATTGTAAGAACGCGAGATCCATGGGCACTCCATCTGGAGGGTGTTCTTGCACATGGGATGCCATGTCCACCGTCTAATCATGTCCTTCCTCCACTTTCAAACAAAAAGAAAAGGAGTGTTGATTCGAAATCTCAGCTTCTCCCTGTGCTGAAAGGAAACATTACAGGACAAATAATGTAACATTTTCTTCAGCTGATAAAATGTGTCGTCCTGCCGTATTTTCTTCTTCATTAAAGTTGCACAGGTTCTTCGCAGACTGTAAACATCATTCCTCCTGCATTGAAAACAGAAAAGGTGTAATGAGTGGAAACCTACAACGGGTTCCTTTGTGATTCTCATATGATATTTCCATAAAACGTTTACCTTTGTCACAAAAAAAGAAAACCTAAGATTGTTGTCATATACATCATAGTTCTCATTATCATCTTGATGATGAACTCTGCTTTGCTTTGTAGAGCTGTCAAAATGTCATTAAATATTTTTCTGTTGTCTGGTTAGTGGCAAATTAATTAAGTACTCATGCACAAACTCAAAAGTCTAATATTTTTTCGTTCTCTCTACACAGTGGTTTGGTTTGTGTCTATACAGAGCAAGTTTATGACCGCCCTTGTGCTAACAACTTAATTAAATAGTGATTATAACATGTCAGTTTTAGTTAGCATAGACATCAGAGTGCTGCTAACATCCATCATGTCTTGTTATACGTGACAAACAGGTCGGGATGGGTTGATGATGCCAGGGGGAGAATGATACGGTATTTAGCTTGTATCAATTTTGTACCAAATCTTTTGGTTTGGTATGTGATTTTACGTTATACCAGTCTCGATCCCGAAATATTGGTTCGGTATAGCTTGGGATGGTTCGGTATCGATTTCAATACAAATTGGGATCAATATATTCGTACCTAGTTTATATTTTAAAATGTAACAAAAAATTTTTATTTTTGAAAATTTAAAAGTACATAAAAAAAGCATAATTAAATACAAAAAATGATTATCAAAACTTAGTTTATATTTCACAAACTAAAAAAATAAATGATAACAAAACAATATTTTGAATGTCTATTACGGAGTAAAATTTTTATATTCATCAACAAAAAATTAAAACTCGAATAATACTATAACTTTCACATAGTAAAATTTAAACCAAAATTTTTAAAATAAATTTATTAACTAATGGAGAAATATAAGAAGATTAATATGTGTTCGGTTCAGGATTTTCAGTATGAGAAATTATCTCGTACAGTTCCTAAATACCATACCAGCCATTGGTTCGATACGTTTATGATATTTTTTTTACTCGGTATTCTTACTTTTTTCGCAAAGATCCAAGATCGGTTTGATACTTGCTCAACCCTAGATGTTGGCATTGCACTTCAACAGGTTGAAAACTCCTTGACCTTAAATAGTAAATGTTTCGACTTACATGCACAAGGTAATGAGTAGGGATTTAAGTTTTAAAAATGTAAACCAATTTTTAAGTATGTTAAGGAACCAATATTGAGAGAAATAATTCTGTATATTATGTTGTTGTGTGCCATACAAAGAGACCTCCCCCTTATTTATAGAAGGGAGAAATCTTGAAGAGAAAGAAACAACCTTCTACTAGGAAAAGAAATACACTCCAACTAGGAAACTAAAGCATACTAGGAAACAAAGAAGTTTAGGAAAATAAGGTAAATCGAATCCCATTGGGATTCGGCCT